CAGAAGTTCCAGTATGGAAAAGGTATTACGAAAATGAAAACTCATTGTTCGGGATGAGTGTACAATTGCACACAAAAAATTGCTTGAGGTTTTTGATCGATTCTCGCGAGATTTGCATGGAAACGTTTAACCATTCGGGATTGCATTGATGTTGCTCTCAGGAGATTTAACGCAAAAATTGCCTGTAATTTCTCGATTAACACTAGCAGGCGAGATAAATGCTTGCCTGAAATAGTCTACATCGTGGCAAAGTGAAGAATTCCCATGATTCCGACCGATACACAATTTCAATTTTAAAGATTGCAATTCCCAATTCGATTGGCATTCGGAATCGCAATCAATAATTCCCAAGGTCAACCTTTGGAAAAGTGTGGTTTATATTTAGATGCGGATTGCTTCTCAGATGTTGCATGTTCCCGTGTCGGCAAACCAGATTATCCTTGATATCTATGCAGAGAATGGCAAAACGACAAATTTTGTGTGCACACAAGTACTTATGTATTACAAAATCAAACGTTAATTCGTTAATCATTTATCATCTATGTAACAGGAATATGCCACAGCAAAGCGTGGCAGGGTACAGCTAGTAACCTTATATAACAGTGATGGCATTTGTGGTATTTTTAAGGCATTTTTATGATAAGCTTGGTATGTGTTAAAATAATCTGATCAAGTCCATTTTTTTTTTGAGTTCCCAAGCAACTGTATAGTTCTAGCGCCATCAGTCAACCATAAGTATGTAAATTTTATGTCTAATGAGTTTTTTATTGTGATTGTTTAAGTGTTCAACGGCGCACAGTGGTAGAGCCCCATACATTTTTTTTGGAAAAATAGGAGTCCGCGTAACTTCAATGCTCCTTGTGCAACATTTATGGAGACAAATAAAAAAAAAACGAAAAAGTGGGGAAATCGATTTATTTTAAAGCATACCTCCCCTCAAAAACGTCTTAGAAATGCAATAAAAAGTGCACCGATACATATATAACTCCGAAATTTTACCCATATGTATGTAGTAATCAGAAACGGATTGCCTTTTTTCTGCTAAAGAGATAGAGTACATTCGATTAAGAATGACCGCGATTTAGCTTTCCCTGATTCCACATCTGAAGTTGCCTTTTTTCCCTTTTAAGATATCCGCCTTTACTAACTTTAATTGTAAAGCTTATTTCTGATAATATGAAAGTTCTAAACATTCCATATTTAGTACATTTATGTCTTTTCTTCGCGAACATCTATTAAAAATGTTGCCAGAAAACTTCAAAATGCATCTTGTGGTTCAATGTTACTACAATTATAGAGATTAAAGTTTTGTGAGTTAAAAACTCAAATGGAGAAAATAGTCAAAGATTGAAAGTACAAATTTTTGATATAATGAAACTATGTAACTCATAGTTTTTCTCTTTTTACTTGTTAAATAAACATTTATAAAATAAATGTATTTTTTGATTATTTTTCGGTTTCTGTCTTTTGTAGTGTTTTATTTTGCCTTCTAGTGCCTCTTCCTGCCTATTTTCCCTTTTTTGTAGGTTTTTAGGTCCTCCGATGCAAAACTTAACCTAAAAATGCCTTAAAAATATCACAAATGCCATCATTATTATATTGGGTTATGTTAAAAGTCGCAAATATGAGCCAATNAACTTAACCTAAAAATGCCTTAAAAATATCACAAATGCCATCATTATTATATTGGGTTATGTTAAAAGTCGCAAATATGAGCCAATTGTTAGTTGCTCCTGTACGCGCTTTCTAGTGCACACGTTGCGCGCATAGGCCGTGAGCGTGTGCGATGTGACAAATGTTGTTGTAAGTAATAAACAGAGAAAATCCAGCAAATTTTTTTTAGAAATATTTTCTTAAATAAATGCAGTTTTCGCAAATGTAAACGAAGTGGGAAACGCTCAATGTGAACATATTTTTAATGTAACCTGAATATTTACAATATTTATATTTAATAAAAAAAAATTTCTAAATTACAAAAGTATTTTTTTTAAAGCTCTAATGTCACTACGCATACAAAAAAAATTACATCAACTTTCGTCACACACTTTAAGAGAAAATGAGTTTTAAAAAAAAGATTGCTGAAAAATGTATTTGCTTATAAAATCTTTAAAAAATAAAATTCAAAAATAAAATTCTCAGAATCCCTTTCACATCTATAAACCTGTACTTTTCACGCAAAAATTCGAACTTGACTAAAATCCGAGGTCCAGTTGAAAATCGTTCACCCATATTTAAGTTCATACATACTAGGTACATATGTATGTATGTATGCAGCAGAACTTCGTCAACTGAAAAATTTATATCTTTGTGAATATTCATAGATGCTAGACCGTTGAGCCTTTCTTGAGGGTCTGGTACGATACGTCGAAATTTAAATTGTCGAAACTAAAAACACCGAAAAAAAAATGTCGAAAAAAATTGTTAGAAAATCAAGAATGTCGAGAAAAAAATTGTCGAAAGGAAAAATGTCGAAAACAAAAAATGTCGAAAATAAAAATGTCGAAAAAAAAATATCGAAATAATGTAATGAATGATGTGTAAAATTCGCGCGAATTTTACACATCATTCATTACATTATTTCAACAGGCTGATTTATTTAAGTTAAATTCCACTAATCCTATGTACTAATATAATAAATGTGAAAGTTTGTGAGTGAGTATGTTTGTTGCTCGTTCACGCTAAAACGTCTGGATATATTTCAATTAAATTTGGAATATAGATATAATATTCTAACATATAAAATATTTTTTGGAGTTGCCACCTCTTTCAAAAAAAAACCCGATTAATTAACAAGTTTAATAAAATATTAGCAAGCGAAAGCGGTTCAGAAACTATATATTTCGGAAGTATTTTGTAATAGGGTTGCCGCCTGTTAAAAAAGTTTAAATCAATTCTTTGAAAAAGTTTAAACGAAATATTTTAATGTGGGTATCAAACGAGAATGCTTTATTGTAGAAATATTTTTAGAGAGTTGCCATCTTTTCAAAAAGTTAAAATCAATTTAAATAACACGTTAAAAAATTTTTTCTGCGTAATTTTGCAGAACTTTCTTTTTCCATCTTAGGAACTCTAGAACATTTGAAAATCTACTCAGAACACTTTTAATTTTTATTTTTTTCACACTTCAACTTTTTCGACTTTTTTTCGACAATTTACGCGTTTTGCATTTTTTTCGACCTTATTCATTTCGAAAGCATACGATTTCGACATTTTGCGTTTCGGTTAAACATTATTTCGAGATTTAAAAAATTTTTAAATTTCGACATTTCTCTTTCGACATTTTTATTTTCGACTTATCGTACGGATCCCTTTCTTGACATGTTATATTTCTCAAGTAGGCTTTAATCCTTTTCAGGCATGAAAAGCTTCGTTCAGGTGTGGCTATTGAAACGGGCAAAAGTGCCAATATACGTAAGATCTTTAAAACATTCCCAAAAGACGTTGTATTAGCTACTTGTAATGCTTCGAGAGCATTTCGAAAATGTTCTTGTGTAACTCGTTTTTTCCACATTTTTACCTCCAGAATAGGGCTGCCAGACGTCCCGGTTTTCCCGGACATGTCCCGGTTTTAGACTATTTGTCCCGGTGTCCCGGTCCAACCTTAAAATGTCCCGGGTTTCGTTTAAGTGTCCCGGTTTTCGATTTGATTGCACAAATTTTGCATAAAAATGCTTACACTGAGAGAAAAAACGCGTTGTAATATAAGAAAAATTTTATGAATTTACTGGGGTAAATAACGCACGGTAAACATTTAATTTTTTTAATTTAGCACGTTTTGCACAAGCAATAGTTGATGATTAATTTAAGTATGTACCTAAGTAAGTGAAAATAACATACACAGAGTTTTACAATTATATTAAGCAAAAGCCAGAAGTTTTGAAACAAGTTCACAGCAACGAAACAAATGACTGATATTTTAATATTACCGTGTATTTAATTTTTTTTCTTTCGTGAAACCTAGATTACTTATAAGTGCCTTACAAAATTATTGGCTCGGAGACTCTTTCATTTGATCACAATTTCTAATCAGATCTTTTAGAAAAATTTTGAAATGTTGAAGTTGCCCGAAAATTTCGTTGATTTTTTGCAATTATTTATTTTTTGCTGATAGTGTCTTCCACATACAAAAAAATGTCAAACATAGTTTGTACGGAAGAAACTCTCAGTAAAAACAATACCAAAAATCAGTTGCAAAAATTAATTTTCAAAATTTTTATAAAAAAGTCTGAATAGAAAGTTGCGAATTTGTAGGCAAATTTATTGCATTTTCCCGAGTTTCAAAGTTTAGAAATTTTATTTTTGTTTTCTGATGTATTTAGTATAAACTGTATTTTTATAAGGAACAAAAAAGATATATAAATTGTGAAAAATTCTCTGTGCTTTAGTTGTGATAAATTGTTTTGTTTTGCTGGTGTACGTTGTAATGATCTCATGATCTCACGTTTTTATGTTTTTATTCTTGTTTGTCAAAATAAAATTTTACTATATCCTTTCGTACGTAAGTTTTGTCGAAAATAAAAAAAGTGAAGGGAGTGAGAGGCAGTTTTTCAAACCCTGATAATTTCTGTAGATATTTGCCCGATACAAATAATTTTTACGGTATTTTCCCCGTGACAAATAAAAAGTTTTTGAAAATTGGAAGAAATACAACTTCGAAGGTCTTTTTAATACGATTTTTCATTTTGCTACGTTAGAGGCGTTGCCGAGAAACTTATGGATNAAATTGGAAGAAATACAACTTCGAAGGTCTTTTTAACACGATTTTTCATTTTGCTACGTTAGAGGCGTTGCCGAGAAACTTATGGATACAAGGTAATTAGAATAAGGGATTAAGGATTAAGGTAATTAGAATAAGGGGCAAAATTACCCGCAAAACCCTCCCCCCCCCATTAGAAAATTCTGGATCCGCCGCTGGTATGCAGTGACCTTTTGCTCATCAATTTCTATTCTATTCTGTAAAGTTATATTGAATTGAGCTTTAATTGAATTTCATTTCTAACCTGGGACCAAATACTCCTTTTCAATATGTGTTCCTTTGATTATCTGATAGGCTGTCTTCGAGGTGAAATGGCGTGTTTGAAGTCTCTCTGTGTCCTTGCCAAAACAGTAGTCATCTTGTCCATGAACAAAAATTTGGAGGAATGATAACGCTAGAATCGATATCAGTAAATTGCTCATATCTGAAACAAATGGTTAAAAAGAAGAACCACAATTAAGAAAAATAATAATATCAATACAAATAAAAATAATGGCGCGCATTCATAGTCCAGCTTCTATTTCGAAACTAATAAAGTTGCAACTTAAATTTAAGTACCAGCTTAAAATTCACTTCTATTCAGAGTTGCAGTTAAGACTTATACTAAGTAGTTTTAACTTAGTTTTACGATATAGCAAAACGAGAATAAAAATTTATCGATTTTTTACGATATATTGAAAAAATTAAGTTAAGATAGATCTCTCCCCCCTTCGTCAGTGAAATGAAACATTTTATTTTTGAATTGATAACACAAATCATTTTACCCTTTCAATTTATAATTTTTTTATTTCAGACTGATGACAAATTATCTTTTAATGAATATATAAAATTATCGGTTGGTGGATTATGTATTTGAATATTTGCGAAATACACTAGGCCATTTTGCTTAGTTCCCCACAGTGTTGGGAATGAAAATTGTTCCTTCAGTACGAAATCTATACAAAAACTGTACTTTTCGTATGCATGCATGCATACATAGATTCCCTTCACGACCAATGATTTGATGGTATTCACGGGAAAGTTTATGTAGGTACATTTACATATTTTCACTTTCAACATAAATGTCAAGGAAGATATTTTAAGATACACTTCTTAACAAGCAAATTTTTTAAAGTTATTATGAATGGATAAAAGAGACATCTTCTTTGAATTCAGTACTAAAACTTGACATTTCAAGTGCTTATCAAATCTTTATACATGTTAACTAGATTCGCAATTTATCTTAAAATTATATAATTTTAATTATTTGTTTATAAAAATGCAGTTTACACTTTAACAAAACCCGTATAAATCCAAAGTTTAATCTTTGCGCAACATTAACAAAATCAACAAACTTTCGTAAAGCCTTTTAATTAGATTTCCTATAAATACATATTTTGAGTATGCAAGCGCAAGTTTAAAATACATAGGTGCGACTTATCGTTGAGTTTTAATATTTTTTTTTTTTTATTGAAAGCCGAAAAAAATCGCCGAACATACTTCGATAATATGGAAGTAAATTACCGACATCGTCAAAAATATGCCATACATCAACTGTAAATCACAGCTACTTTAAATTTGCACTTTATTAGACTAAAATTGAAAGCCCTAAAAAACTCCAAAATATTAAGAGATAAAATTGAAATAGAAAGTTCGAAATTTTTAGGAAAGTTTGTCGATTTTTTTTAATGTTGTTCAAAGATTAAACTTATTTTAATTTGGTGTTTGTTAAGGAATAAACTATATTTTTATAAACAAATAATTCAAATTAAAATATAATAAAATAAATAGTGAAATCTAGTCAATATGTGAGTGCCGCAACGTTATGATATTTAAAAACACCTGTTTCTTAATTAACGATGACACTGTTTCTATATGAAGCTGATTTCGACATTTTGTTTTAATAAAATTTAGTATCGAAAATATTCTTTCAAAACTTGCCTAGGAATGTGATATAATGGTTCGTGCAAAACCTTTTTTTAAAACTTATAAAGGCAAAAACGAGAAGGCGAAGACAAAAAGAGAATAAAAAAATTTCCCGCGGTGAATTTTCAGATTTTTAAAACGGTATAGTAAAGCTCGGAACACTTTGACGACAGCAAGCGACAAGCAGCATCTGTCAAATTTTAAATGCACACGTTCTTACGGACACAATTATTTTGACGACAGCACGACATCTTGGCTGCAGGACTGCAATTGTCGACGTCGCCAAATTAAATCTATTTCTAATTTTGCCGGCGACAATGAGTAGATGTAGTGCTGCAAAATTAAATTGTCGCAAAATTAATCACATATTCTTGATTGTTCATGTTTTTCTTATTTACTTAAATAAAAATACACAATTTGTGAAATAAATATACCAAAATGTCAAACTTTAAAATCAGCTGTTTGCTATGTCGCTGAGGTCTTCAAAATGTTTAAGAAGCTGGCTTCAAGGCGACATTTGTCGA